AACCTATGAAGGTTCCTGTGTATACTCTGCATTAGGTGCCGGGACTGATAACCTGTAGCGGTTCCTATGTATACTCTGCATTGGGTCCAAGGACTGATAACCTATGGAGGTTCCTATGTATACTCTGCATTAGGCTCTGGGACTGATAACCTGTAGAGGTTCCTGTATATACTCTGCATTGGGTCCAAGGACTGTTAACCTATGGAGGTTCCTGTGTATACTATGCATTAGGTTCTGGGACTGATAACCTGTAGAGGTTCCTGTATATACTCTGCATTGGGTCCAAGGACTGTTAACCTATGGAGGTTCCTGTGTATACTATGCATTAGGTTCCGGGACTGATAACCTGTAGAGGTTCCTACTGTATGTATATTCTGCATGGGTCCAAGGACTGATAACCTATGGCACTCTGGGATAGATAAACTATGGAGGTTCCTGTGTATCCTAACGTCCCCTTTTTCTGGCGACAGCCTTTAAAGTTGATTACCAGTTTGGAATGGTAACCAGACATTTTGTCTGACCCCGACAGAACGTTCTTGATTTAGGTTTTACAGAATTGTAGCAGAACAGAATTGTATGACAAGTGGGGCAGAATCTGTATAAAACGGGCGGACTGACAACTCATGGGGCCCCCGGGCAATAGGGTATCATGGGGCCCCTGTGTCCTTGCCCAAACTCAAAAAAGACTATGAAAAAGGTACCAGGGGCATCTCATGGGGCCCCCTACTGACCCCGGGCCCTCGGGCACTGCCCGAGTTTCCAAATGGTCAGTCCGCCCCTGGTATAAAAGGATGTTCACACTGGATGTCCACACTGGTGTAGGGATTACTGCCAACTGAACTAGCACAATGTTCCTACTTTCCCAAGTAAGAGTTAAATTGGCAGTGGTAATTTTTTTTACTTCTATATTAAAAGTATCAAACCACTAGAACTTTTTTGATAAATATTAGTCATTTACACATTGAAGTTTATTTATAAAACAATTCCATAGCAATTCTCCCAGCAGTTTATATACATTCACTATGTTCATCTTATGGTTCAACAAAACCAATTTTCTTAGGTTACTTCTTGTGCTGAACGAATGACTGTCATTGATCTAAAATGGAAAATACCTCATTTGGTCACTAGATGGTGTCAGTATCAAATGAATTATCGCCATCTAGGGGCCAAATGGGGTATTTTTTCTTTTTTGTTTTAAATCAATGACACCCCTTAGTTCCAGCTCAGGAAACCTTCATGTTTCTGCCCCATTTGCACAGAATGAAAGTACATGTACTTTTACTGGGTAACTAGCTATGCAATTTTTGTTTAGAAATATGCCTCATTTTGTTTCTTCGTGAACAGATGCTGTATACAATTTTTTTTTTTTTTAACTTGAAATCAATACAGTCACATGACACCACATCCAGAGATCACCTTGTAGCAAGGACACGTTAACCACTACACAATGGTAGTTGGAGAGCATAGGGTTTGTGTTTTTCCATAGACAACAGTGGGCTCTATGCAAGTCCTTAAACATCAATCAAGTGCTGCACTTCACCTATGATTTAAACCAAACCAAACAACATAAACGTCTCTTAATATGTGTCCATGTGCTGATAGTCCTGTATAGTTGTATATCTTCACAGCAGGGGCGGACTGACCATTTGGAAACTCGGGCACTGCCCGAGGGCCCCAGGGTCAGTAGGGGGCCCCATGAGATGCCCCTGGTACCTTTTTCATAGGCTTTTTTGAGTTTGGGCAAGGACATGGGCCCCATGATCCCCTATTGCCCGGGGCCCCATGAGTTGTCAGTCTGCCCCTGCTTCACAGATGCTTAACCACTTCCATACCGGGCACTGTTACCCCCTTCCTGCCCAGCCCAATTTTCAGGTTTCAGCGCTCTCACACTTTGAATGACAAACTAAAATTTTAATCATTTTGTTCACACAACTAGAGCTTTCTTTTGGTGGTATTTAATCACCGCTGGGATTTTTATTTTTTTGCTAAATTAACAAAAAAAGACCGAACATTTTGAAAAGAAAACACGTTTCTTTGTTTCTGTTCTAAAAGTTTGCAAATAAATAATTTTTCTTCATAAATTTAGACCCAAGATGTATTCTGCTACATGTCTTTGGTGAAAATAACTCAAACTAGTGTTTATTATTTAGTCTGAAGGAAAGTTATAGAGTTCACAAACTATGGTATAGATATGAATATTGATCAATCCTAAAGTACTGACGGCCAATCTAATTTCTTGAGGACCAAAAATGTCAGATATACAGATATCCCCCAAACGACACCTTTTTGCAAAGTAGACAGTCCGACGTACTTCATAAGAGGCATGGCGAGTTTTTTTAAGTTGTTGTTTTTATGGCATAATTTTTTGGAAAATGAAGAAATTAAAAAAATTATTTTTACAATTTTGTTTTTTACATACTGTCACCAGTGCAGTACAGCATCATCATATAACTGGTGTGGCGGTGATCAGGGACACTGACTGGTGACAGTACGAAAAAAAAAACGATAATTCTTTTTCAATTTATTTTTTTAATTTTTTAATTTTTTTACTACTTTTTTAAGATTTTTTTTTCCATATTACACTATGACCAAAGTAGTATAATGTTACCATAGTAACGTTGTACTACTTTGGGGAAATGATCAGTATTTTTTTTTTTAAAAACAATTTGATTGCTTATAGCAAAGAATTTCTATGCTATAAGCAAGCATTGAACTGAATGAAATTGATTCATTCAGGTTTTTTTTGTTGTGATTAGCTGTGATTGGCCATGGCTAATCACATGACACAGATGGGCTGTGATTGGCCCAGCCTGTGCTTGTGATAACTGTGACCATTCACAGCTAGACACATTTGTATACAATGGATAGCATGAAAGGAAGCCATCCATTGTATACAACTGCCATGTGATCTGCTGTTATTGGTCACAGCAGGTCACATGGTACTGGCAACGGGGTCAGTACACAGATCTGTCATTTGCTTTGTCCAAGGTACACAGCCGGTGACAGATCACGCCATAGCGCGGCCCTGCAGACACGTGCAAAGCGCGATCCAGGAAGGACGTCATATGACGCCCTACCAGAGGGACGAGAGGCTCGCCCGACCGTCATTTTACTATATGCCAAGCAGGAAGTGTATAAATTGCAAATTACATCTTGGAACACCCCATGCTTCTATACACTGCAAACCAATGAGCGTGTGCATATGATTCCCCCAGATGAAGCCACGTGACCCGGTGGCGTAACGCGTAGGGACGTACTTTGAGATCACGATGCTTGTAGGATAGGAGAGTGTGATACAGCTGGATGCACATTAGCAGTTGGAGGATCCGTATCAATAGAAGTATCATATTGGAGTTACTTTACAAAACGCGCTTTAATACATCACACATGTGAGTGGAATACTGGATATTTGCGTTTTCAATAAATGTTCTGTAAGGATAAAGCCACCTCTCCTTCCTACCCCACATCCAATTGCTTTCAGGATCATGCAGGCTCCACCTCCGCAACATCTCCAAGATACGTACATTACTCACCCCAGACACTACCAAACAACTCGTACACTCCCTCATCATCTCACGCCTGGACTACTGCAACTCCCTCCTCACTGGCCTAGCCAAACGAGCGCTATCCCCACTCCAGTCGATCCTGAACTCAGCGGCTAGGCTCATCCACCTCACCAACCACTCCACATCTGCCACCCCACTTTGCCAATCCCTTCACTGGCTCCCGATTGCCCAACGCATCAAATTCAAACTGCTAACCCTGACCTACAAAGCCATTCACAACGCCACCCCAAACTACCTAACCGACCTGATACCTAAATACCACCCTACCCGTGCCCTTCGCTCCACACAGGACCTCCTACTCTCTAGCTGCCTGGTCTCCTCCTCCCACGCCCGATTGCATGATTCCTCCAGGACCTCCCCAATCCTCTGGAATTCCCTACCCCAGTCCATTAGACTATCAATTACCCTCATCACCGTCAGGTGCACCCTGAAGACCCACCTATTCAGGGAGGCCTACCCCACCCTCACCTAACAACTGACCTCCTCCACTCCTCCTACCACTTCATTCCCCACAGCCATTTCCTCTTGTTCCACTTCCCCTCCCTCCTAGATTGTAAGCTCAAAAGAGCAGGGCCCTCGAACCCCTCGTGTATTGTATTGTTTATGTAATGTCTCATGTTCTGTCCCCCTGCTATTGTACAGCGCTGAGCAAACCCTTTGGCGCTATATAAATACTATATAATAATAATAAAAAAGCACCATGTTTTGGTCATCTCTTTTCGGTACATATTTGATGGAGGAGGAGAGCTAAGAGAGTGGAGGAGATTCATGCCCATTGGACACAAGACATCAGTCCATATAAGGGACACATGCCATTTATGACCTCACCTAGTGGTTCGGTCATATACACCAGTTGAGAGCACATCCTATGAAGGTGTATACAAACGCTCATTGGTTTGCAGTGTATGTGATATCAAAGTACCCCCCTACGCGTTACGCCACTGGGTCACCTGGCTTCATCTGGGGGAATCATATGCACACGCTCATTGGTCTGCAGTGTATAGAAGCACGGGGTGTTCCAAGAAGTAATTTGCAATTTAAGCATCTGAGAAGATATACAACTATACAGGACTATCAGCACATGGACACATATTAAGAGATAGTTACGTTGTTTGATAAGGTATAAATCAAAGGTGAAGCGCGGCACTTGATTGATGTTTATGTTATATAACACATTTTGTATGGGAGTGTGAATAGTGTGAGCGATTCGCAATTTTGTAATTACAATTTTTTATTATTGGTTTTGTATAAAAGCTCACAAGATTTTGCACTTCACTCTATGCAAGTCCTATTGCATATGTATGTTCTGGATTGAGAGTAAAAATAAAAAAAATTAAAAAAAAGTAAAAAGTGTTGAAACATAAAAATGCTGGGTATTGTGTCCAGCTTTTTTTATTTTTTTGTTCTAATTTTTGTATATTTGTTTTAAAATAGCATCAAAACCAGTGGACACCAAGCTCTGCACAGATCCTTCCCTGAGTACCAGCCAGCTCTGCCATGTCCCCTGTCCCATAGAGTGCGAGGTGTCGGCATGGTCAGCGTGGGGTCCGTGTACGTTTGAAAGCTGTGATGACCAGCAGAGCAAGAAAGGTATGTAAGGTGAAAGGATTATCCGGTGCTGGCCATAATGTGATGAAAAAATGAAACAAACCAAAAAAATGAGAAGTTTGTTATCTCCTCTATGTGCCTCCTTGAATATTAACCTTCCACATATGATTTGCTGAATGAGAAATATACCTGGCTATTATTATTAACATTAATTATTATACAGGATTTCTATAATGCCAACAGTTTGCTCAACGCTTTACAATATAAAGGTAGACAATACAGCAATATTACAATCCAATAAAAGATGGTTACGAGGGTCCTGCTCCTGGGAGCTTCAAAGCTAATAAGGAGGGGCTGGTGGAACAAAAGTTATTAACTGTGAGGGATGAAGATTTGGCTATTAGCTGAAGACAGGATAGGCTTCCCTGAAGAGGTAAGTTATCATGGATCTCCTAAAAGCCAGACAGATTGGGGCTCTGGAGAAGTCCTGGAGAGAAGCGGGAGAGGTTGAGATAAGTGAGCTAGAGAGAAGGAGAGCATTATGGTTGCCCTCAAAGGACCAGTTGTATTTGTAAGACTAGATGTCAAGAGCCCTCCACCATCAGAATTCAAGAGTCTCCGCACCCCCCCTTACATCAAAGTTCACCCCCCTTCACTTGTGCTGCTGCTAGGAAGAAGCTGGGGTGGAGCAGAGAAGCAGAAAGTGCAGGGTCTAGAAGAGGACCAGAGGAGAACTGAATTCAGCTGAGACCAGGGGAGGTGGAGAAGAGGGAGTGCTGTGGCTGCACTGAGAGGTGCAGGACCTCTAGGAGGAGTTCTGCCCTCTTCTCTTGTGCCAACTGCTGAGACACGGAGGGAGCAAAGATGAGGGGTGCCACAGTTGCAGGAGAGGAGCGAGGGCCACATGAAATGCCCTGGCCATCCGAATTCCGCCTGCATGCCTTGACATACAGCCAGGTCCATAAATATTGGGACATCGACACAATTCTAACATTTTTAGCTCTAAACACCACCAAAATGGATTTGAAATGAAACAAACAAGATGTGCTTTAACTGCAGACTGTCAGCTTTAATTTAAGGATATTTACATCCAAATCAGGTGAACGATGTAGGAATTACAACAGTTTGCATATGTGCCTCCCACTTGTTAAGGGACCAAAAGTAATAGGACAATTGGCTTCTCAGCTGTTCCATGGCCAGGTGTGTGTTATTCCCTCATTATCCCAATTACAATGAGCAGATAAAAGGTCCAGAGTTCATTTCAAGTGTGCTATTTGCATTTGGAATCTGTTGCTGTCAACTCTCAAGATGAGATCCAAAGAGCTGTCATTATCAGTGAAGCAAGCCATCATTAGGCTGAAAAAAACAAAACAAACCCATCAGAGAGATAGCAAAAACATTAGGCGTGGCCAAAACAACTGTTTGGAACATTTTTATAAAGAAGGAAAGCACCGGTGAGCTCAGCAACACCAAAAGACCCGGAAGACCACGGAAAACAACTGTGGTGGATGACCGAAGAATTCTTTCCCTGGTGAAGAAAACACCCTTCACAACAGCTGGCCAGATCAAGAACACTCTCCAGGAGGTAGGTGTATGTGTGTCAAAGTCACCAATCAAGAGAAGACTTCACCAGAGTGAATACAGAGGGTTCACCACAAGATGTAAACCATTGGTGACCCTCAAAAACAGGAAGGCCATATTAGAGTTTGCCAAACGACATCTAAAAAAGCCTTCACAGTTCTGGAACAACATCCTATGGACAGATGAGACCAAGATCAACCAGAGTGATGGGAAGAGTATGGAAAGGAAAGGAACTGCTCATGATCCTAAGCATACCACCTCATCAGTGAAGCATGGTGGTGGTAGTGTCATGGCGTGGGCATGTATGGCTGCCAATGGAACTGGTTCTCTTGTATTTATTGATGATGTGACTGCTGACAAAAGCAGCCGGATGAATTCTGAAGTGTTTTGGGCAATATTATCTGCTCATATTCAGCCAAATGCTTCAGAACTCATTGGACGCCACTTCACAGTGCAGATGGATAATGACCCAAAGCAGACTGCAAAAGCAACCAAAGAGTTTTTTAAGGGAAAGAAGTGTAATGTTATGCAATGGCCAAGTCAATCACCTGACCTGAATCCGATTGAGCATGCATTTCACTTGCTGAAGACAAAACTGAAGGGAAAATGCCCCAAGAACAAGCAGGAACTGAAGACAGTTGCAGTAGAGGCCTGGCAGAGTATCACCAGGGATGAAACCCAGCGTCTGGTGATGTCTATGCGTTCCAGACTTCAGGCTGTAATTGACTGCAAAGGATTTGCAACCAAGTATTAAAAAGTGAAAGTTTGATATATGATTATTATTCTGTCCCATTACATTTGGTCCCTTAACAAGTAGGAGGCACATATGCAAACTGTTGTAAGTCCTACACCGTTCACCTGATTTGAATGTAAATACCCTCAAATTAAAGCTGACAGTCTGCAGTTAAAGCACATCTTGTTTGTTTCATTTCAAATCCATTGTGGTGTTTAGAGCCAAAAATGTTAGAATTGTGTTGATGTCCCAATATTTATGGACCTGACTGTATGTGCCTTGGGGGGACCATAAAGGATTTTTATCCTGATGGAACAAAATTCTTTCTATAGGTTTTTTTTCTGTATATAGAGATTTTCATTTTTTTTATTTATTTTTTTAATTCTTTTTCTGTTGGTTGAGCCTAGCAGACTTTTGTCTTTTTTTTTTTCAACCTAACTGTAATAAATTATGAGAATGTTAAAGAAAACAAATTAACACTAAAGTGCTCCAATCTAGTTCCATAGCTGCTAGAAATATAGTATCTGAATTTCTCCAACTACAGGTGAAACTTGAAAAATTAGAATATTGTGCAAAAGTTCATTTATTTCAGTAATGCAACTTAAAAGGTGAAACTAATATATGAGATAGACTCATTACATGCAAAGCAAGATAGTTCAAGCCGTGATTTGACATAATTGTGATGATTATAGCTTATGAAAACCCCAAATCCACAATCTCAGGAAAATGAGAATATTCCATGCAATCAATAAAACAAGGATTGTACATAGAACAATATCGGACCTCTGAAAAGTATAAGCATGCATATGTACTCAGTACTTGGTCTGGGCCCCTTTTGCAGCAATTACTGCCTCAATGCGGTGTGGCATGGAAGCTATCAGCCTGTGGCACTGCTGAGGAGTTATGGAAGACCAGGATGCTTCAATAGCGGCCTTCAGCTCTTCTGCATTGTTCGGTCTCATGTCTCATCTTTCTCTTGGCAATGCCCCATAGATTCTCTAAGGGGTTCAGGTCAGGCGAGTTTACTGGCCAATCAAGCACAGTAATCCCATGGTCATTGAACCAGGTTTTGGTGCTTTTGGCAGTGTGGGCAGGTGCCAAGTCCTGCTGGAAAATGAAGTCAGCATCCCCATAAAGATCATGTGCGGAAGGAAGCATGAAGTGCTCCAAAATCTCCTGGTAGACGGCTGCGTTGACCCTGAACTTAATGAAGCACAGTGGACCAACACCAACAGATGACATGGCTCCCCAAATCAACACAGACTGTGGAAACTTCACACTGGACTTCAAGCATTGTGCAGTGTGTGCCTCTCCATTCTTCCACCATACTCTGGGTCCTTGGTTTCCAAATGAGATGCAAAAGTTGCTCTCATCAGAAAAGACGACTTTGGACCACTGAGTAACAGACCAGGTCTCTTTTTCTTTAGCCCAGGTACGACTTTGTTCTTCAGGAGCGGCTTGACAAGAGAAATATGACATTTGAAGCCCATGTCCAGGATCCGTCTGTGTGTGGTGGCTCTTGATGCACTGACTCCAGCCTCAGTCCACTCCTTGTGAAATTCCCTAACACTTTTGAATAGCCTTTTCCTGACAATCCTCTCCAGGCTGTGGTCATCCCTGCTGCTTGTGCACCTTTTTCTTCCACACTTTTCCCTTCCACATACCTTTCTATTAATGTGCTTTGATACAGCACTTTGGGAACATCCAACTTCTTTTGCAATGACCTTTTGAGGCTTTCCCTCCTTATGGAGGGTGTCAATGATGGTTTTCTGCACAACTGTCAGGTCAGCAGTCTTTCCCATGATTGTGATTCCTACTGAACCAGACTGAGAAACCATTTAAAGGCTCAGGAACCCTTTGCAGGTGTTATGGCTTAATTATCTGATTAGAGTGGGACACTTTGAGCCGAGAATATTGCACCTTTTCATAATATTCTCATTTTCTGAGATTGTGGATTTGGGGTTTTCATGAGCTGTAAGCCATAATCATCACAATGATGACAAATCACGGCTTGAACTATCTTGCTTTGCATGTAATGAGTCTATCTCATATATTAGTTTCATCTTTTAAGTTGCATTACTGAAATAAATGCACTTTTGCACGATATTCACATTTTTTGAGTTTCACCTGTATTTGGGAATTTACATTTTTGTGGATGGTATCACTTAGCCTTTATACATTCAGGCGGATTGTCTTCTAAATATTACAGGCAGGTGGAGATGAGCTGTGATTTTAGGACTTGAGAAGAGCTTTAAAGAGGTATTTCTCCACAATGCTTATAGCTAGAGAGGTCGGGAAGAGCTTGTTTTAAAGCTAATGTTCAGGCTGCTATAGATTTAAAATCTTAATTTTTCTTAAATTACTGTACATAATGATAAAGGCAGCATGAAGTTTTATATAATCAATTTTATATAACCAACCCATTTATGTGTGTTTTTTTAGGTTTCAAGCTCAGGAAGCGTTACGTTACAAATGAGCCCACAGGAGGTACCGGAAGCTGCCCCAACCTAGTAGAGGCCATTCCTTGTGAGGAGCCATCCTGCTATGACTGGAGACTGGATAGGCTGGAGGAGTGCATCCCGGACAATGGAAACAACTGTGGGTCCGGCACACAAGTACCAGTTGTCACCTGTATCAACAGCGATGGTGAGTAACCAAAGGGGTCTCCAATTCAAGATTAAAAATTAATCATATAAATAATATTTCAAATTAAAGTGTTTTTCAAACCATAAACATTTTTTCTTGTTCAACAGAGTGGGGAAGGATTAGAACCTTTGTCAGGTTTCTACTTTTTGTGGTATGGGAGCATTGAACCTTGAGGTGATTTTGTGTAATGTTATATGTATGCAGGTATGTGTGCGGTCCTGGAGGCCACTCTCCAACATCTTTGGTGTCCTGCTGGATCCACAAAAATGTTTATTGTGAAACAAATTCTATGCATTTGGGGGATCAACACATCCCCTCCATCAAAGCCCTGAGTTGTCAAAGTGTGTTGCATTTTGTTTCAGAATTAAATTCTTTATCCACAGAACATATGCTTGCTACATAAAAAAAGGCCTCCAGTATCTAAATGGTGGAGTCTTGTCTGATCTATGCATAAACACACATTTCAACAGTAAAATATAGGCAACAGCGGGTTGTGTAGGATGGTGGAATGCCAACATGGAGGCGGTGGGACCTAATTGTGGAGTGGAGTGAATGGTACAAGCTAGGGGCCCAAATTTATTGGGGACCAGATTTTGCACTCTCTGGTCTTAGTAAATCAACCCTAATGCCAATAATTGGTCCAGTGTGTCTGATATGGTATGTTTTTGGAAGGCACACCATAGTATGTCTTAAGCTGGCCATAAATGGGTCGAATTCGAACCATGTATGGGCAAGCTGCATGTACCCAAGTTGATCGATTGGTACAGCCAGCCTGCTGGATTTCTACAAGCGATTATTGCTAGTCGTTATAATCCCTGTGTTCTCCCGGCAGGGACAGCTTCCCTTCAACTCCCCATTGAGAGAACACAATGAGGGGATTTACTAAAACAGGAGAGCGCAAAATTTAATGCAACTGTGCATAGAAATCAATCAGCTTCCAGGTGTTTTTGTCAAAGTATAAGCGAATAAGCTGAAGTTCGAAGCTGATTGGCTACCATGCACAGCAGCACCAGATTTTGCACTCTCTGGTCTTAGTAAATCAAGCCTAATGGCTCCGTGGGAGGGATTCCCTTGTCTACACTAATTGTGTTGATGGGAGAATCAAGTGAATTTTTTTCCTGCCACCCATGGCTGCAGGGAATAAATTAGTTCTGTCTATGGCCAGCCTTAGAATATGAAAATTTGATGTTGGGGGGGGGGGGGGGGGGGGAAGCAATAGTAAATGATAGGCCAAAGAAAGTAGGGGAGATAACAATGGAGAGAGTGTTAAGTGTGGCAGGTTAATGAGTGGAGGATATACAAATAAAAAGCAAGAAAGTAAACAGGGGAAGGAAAGAGAGGATTGGGGGAAGTCAGAAAAAAGAAGACAAAAGCAACCATCACACCTAAGACCTTGTAAGCTGCAATTTATTAAAATCAAATTATTAAAAAAAATAATAAATGCACCCATATTTGCAGAACAAAATGTGCCTTTTTTTTTTTTTTTTTTAACAAATGTATTTATTTATTAATTTTATTTAAATGTATTATTTAAGATATTTATGTTTCATGAGTTTACAGCGCTGCACTTTTATGATATACGTTTACATTGGGACAGTTACCGATACCTTAAGTACTAGCAGCTATTCTCTTATTCATAAATAATTTATTTACATAATTATATATATATTTTAGAACTTGCTTTCATACTCTCTATTTATGTGAATTTATGAATTTACAAATTATTACCTATACCCTACAGTACTAACGACTGCTAGGTATAATACTAACTATAAGATCTCATTATATGCGCTCGCTTATATTTCTTTATATATTTCTTTTTTCTTTTTTATTATTTGCAAATCAGCCTGCAAAGCTGCAAAGTTTGCGTTCTGCTTGGCACGATGTTGCATGTCACACACGAGTTAGGCTTTATATTTTAGTTTGTGGGTTTAGATAACTTTTTAAAGTAGTACTAAAGCCTCAGCAAAAAATTACATTTAATTTAACTTTAAATGGCAGCTCCTATTATTTCTCAAGAGTACCTACAATTTGTAGATAGGAGTACTTTGACGTCATAAAACATACAAAACCTAGACAAAAAGAGTCTAATAATCTGAGGAGTTTTTCAATGTAAAAACATTGCAGCAATATTGTTTTCATCTAGGCATCAGGATGAATGCTCACCATTAAATGACATTAATTAGCATTTAAATTGACAACTCCAATATGTCTTCATGCTCTTTAAGCAGAGCATAGAACTCTATAATCTCTCTTACACTGTATGTTTGATGTTCTCTGTTTTCCCATAAAGAGTTGGTAAGAACAGGAAACCAACCTCCACTCATTAGATTAATTGGTCTGAGTAGAATTCTGCGCTTTTAATGCTGACGACAATCTATTTCCCTGCAGAAAATCCAAGTGACACCATAAATATATATTTATTTTATGTCAGGATGGGGAATTAATTCTAAATTCTCACACAGGATTGGAGAACGTGAGGTCACCACTCACCTGAGAAACACTCCAGTTTCTCAAGGTAATTACAGAAAATACACCGGCTAATTAAAAATCAACACGTCTTATGTTTCTTTGTAGGGAAAAATTGTATTGCTGATGCAGAAAGCGAGGGTGGAAATTGCTAAGCAGAATTTGATTGACTCCTTTTTTTTTTGTTTGTTTGCATGGTGACTTTTTTTCAACTTTAAGTATTTTTTGTTTAAGCCTTGTACAAATATTTGTGCTGTGGTTAATTGGATTCCAGTTTCTATAATAGATAAATTGCAAAAAAATAGTTTATTTAATTCAAAATCAATATCAGCATGATGAATTTAACTTAAAAAAAAAAAAAGAATTAACCACTTCCAGTCCGGACACTTTTACCCCCTTCCTGACCAGGGCAATTTTCAGATTTTAGCGCTATCACACTTTGACTGACAATTGCGTGGTCATGCAACACTGTACCCATATGAATTTTTTTTTTTAAAATTTTTGGAGACAGATAAAGCTTTATTTTGGTGGTATTTATTTACCGCTGGGATTTAATTTTTTTTGCTATGTAAATGAAAAAGTCCAAAAATTTTGAAAAACTTGTTTTTTATAAAATTTTGCAAAGAAATAATATTTCATCATAAATCTTGGCCAAAATTTATTCTGTTATCTTTTTAGTAAAAAAAAAAATCCAAATTAGTTTATAACCAAAAATTATAATTTTTAAACATTTTTTTTTACATTTGTAATTTATTTTTTTATATTATTTTTTATTTATTTATTTTTTCTTACATACTGTCACCCTAGCACTGTCACTTGTGGGGGGGGTGATGAAGATGTTTTTTTTTTTTTTACACTGATTGCTTTTACACCCATATAGGATGTAAAAGCAATCATTTCTCTTTCTCTCTGTCTGCATTCTTGCAGTCATTGAGAAGTACTGAGTGAGCTGTGATTGGTCACAGCTTGTCACATGGTACAATGTTGTTGTGAATAGCCTTGTACCATGTGACCTCTGTGATCATTCACAGATTTCTCATGTAGTAAGCAATGATGTCACAAGTGACATCTTGCTTACTACTTTGCATGTGATCACTGATTGGCCAATCAGTGATCACATGATCGGGACCTCGTACAGAGGTCCCGTCCGACGATCGGTGTTTCACTGTGTCCGGAGGACACAGCGGGCACCGGATCGCGGTGCTGCGCACTCCCAGGGAGCACGCGCAAGCAGGGTGCGGGGAGGCCGTTTAGAAACGGCCACCCGACCCTGCACTGCCACCCTCCGGCCATTTATATACAACGGCCGGTCAGGAAGTGGTTAAAATGTTATCTAAACCTAAAATATTTAAAATTTAATATATTGCATCTTATTAGATGGTAGATGTGGTGGCTGCATTTGTTTTCTTTATTCGGGCTTTTGATTATTATTTTTACCTGGTGATCCTTCCAGTAATACACTTCCTGTGCTAGAGTACAAGGAAACAACAAACGTGCTCTAGCACAGACTACCCTAGGGAGGTGGGAACTGGTGTTCTGGCTCAGATACCTCCACTCTGCAGCAACAATGCACCAATAGAATAGAGCCGGCTACTTGGTATCATTTGTTTTAGTAAATCTTTATTGGCTACATAGTAGAGTACAGCAGGTCAAAAATGTGCCAAAATGCGTTGGAGATTTACCTGCTGTACCCTACTATGTAGCCAATAAAGATTTGTTGCTAGGGGCCAGCTACTAGGTATCATTCTTTTTAGTGAATTTTTATTGGCTACATAGTAGAGTACAGCAGGTCAAAAATGTGCCAAAATGCGTTGGAGATTTACCTGCGGTACCCTACTATGTAGCCAACAAAGATTTGTTATACACACCAGTGTAGTGCTTACAAATAAAACACAAAAAGATAAATTATGTCAAAAAAAACACATAAATAATAAAGTGGTGACATGACATGAGTTAAAATGCTTTTCATGCCTCAACCTGTAGTGAATTTGTGATTGACAGTGCAATAAAGTGCACCATAATCTCTCCACTTGTTCGTTACTATGTGTGAAAACACCTCATGTCCTCCGCCAGCCACACTCTGAGGCTTACCAAAGAGATGGGACCCTCACATGAGGAGAAGTCAGACTACGCTTGTTGTAACCATAGGCATAAACAGAATGGGACTCCACTGCTCATAACACGGCTTTCCTCTCCTTCTTCATCACTGTCACAGTGTGAACATAAAAAGAGCAAGAAACTGCTCTCAAAAGTGTAAATATGGATGACACTTTTATTAAAATTGGTTAAAAAAACCTACATCAGCACTGTACAGTATATCACACTTCACATAAAACTGCAATTCCCAGAATCCTCAGTAGCAAAGTGCGCATGCGCCATGACATCACAGCTTCCGTTTCCCCCCAACGTGTTTCGTCATATCTCTCTCTCTCTCCCTCTCTCTCGTCTTCTCCCTGATCTTCAACACACAAGCAGTGGAAATGTTCATCTTATCCTCTACACACACACTCTGACCCTGAGTCTCTGCCTCC